AGATCGACACCGAGAACTTCACAGAAACCATTGTGTAGGATTGAAAGCTGTCTTAGAACCGAGAAGCTCTGATACCACTTTGTTGGGATAATTGAACACAGAACCAGAAAATAGAACATTCACAAACACAATATTTACGTGGTTCGATCAAATTGATTTACGTCCACGGCAAGAGGGTGTTTCACTATATTTCTTTCTCAAATTACAACACTCATACAAAATTTGAGAACTCACTTTTGTTGTGTGGCTATCTCTCGTGTGTCTGTGTTTTTCTCTACTCTGCCTTACACTCTCACTTCCCTTTTAATTCACATAGAGATTGAATAAATCAATCAGTGATTGATTGATTAGGGAGGGGACCACAAGTGAGAAAATGACTTAAAAAAGATGTGACCTTCTTTAATACACGCAGAGACAAAACAAAGAAAGAGGGAGTGGTTGATTGAGATGGGGACAACACATGAAAGTGACATAAAGATGAGACTTTCATTCCACAATTTCTTCAGCAGCCGCGTTGAGATAACTTGACAGCGACCTCCCGTGATGTTTGGCCAAATTCAAGCCAACAAAGTCAACACATCACATGTTCTTGAATAGCATATTAGATTTTTATACTAAGGTTAAAAAGGGCCTCCTAATGCACCATACTAAACATTTCCTAATCCCCGTAAGAGTGTAAACAGTTTTGACTTCTAAACAAGGAATACTAAGACCGGATTAATAATATTATAACCAAAAAGTAAACTCACAAAACAAATCTTTGCCATTATTATGGCCAAAGTTATAAAATTTCTACTTTCTTGGTTTCACTTAAATTACTCTTTCTCACTGTTAAAGCATGGTTGGTGGGTCTGATATCACGATAATTTGAGCATCTCTCTCCCCCCCCTCTCTCTCTCTCCTATTCGTGTATGTTGACACCGAAGTGTTAGTCCTCCATTCATGAGACATTTTCTGAGTATCAGTAATTTTCTTGAATAGTTTAAAGATATTTTAAAACTCCCATAGGAATATCATCAATTCTTAGGCTCCTTCAAATTTTCATTTTTTGTTAAGGTACCTTCTGTTGGAGAATTTCACTCTCCTCGCCTACTACAATATGCATAACTCTGAAACCAACCCACAATCAACAAGATATAAAACGGCCACAATAAAAAAAAAGAACACCGGGATTTACGTGGTTCGGTCGACCAACTTCGACCTACGTTCACGGGACAACAATACGAGAAATTCACTATGTATCAGAGAGAACTACAAGAGGAACCACTCAACTCTCGTCTCTCAATCTCTCAACCTCACATACATAATCAACATTCATATTCTCTCTGAAGCTCACTCCTTGTAATTTTTTGCACGGATAAAGATCACGAAACCCTCGCCTCTTGCACAATATTCTTGAATCAGGCTACACCCTCTGCTAACTCTAAATTACAAGAATGTTGGCTCTCTCCCTCTCTACTACATCTTCTCTCTACTCTATTCTTCTTAGTTTTTCCTCCAACAATAAAAGAATATATATAGGGAAACTAAAACCCTATCTTTAGCCTAACTTTCTAATTAGAATATAATTCAAACTCCTAATCATGATCGAACCCAAACTTCTAATCATGATAGATCTCTAACCCTATCTAATTCTCATGAAGTTCTACAAAGAATCAAAGACACAATCCCAATAATCTTCATATTGGATTTGATTCCCAAACTCATTTGAAGATATATCATCATCGTCTTGAAACTTTGCCTCTCCCGTTAGAGTCTTCTATTTCTTTCGCACTTTAAATCGAAGCAACCCAACTCCTAATCAGAACATCTGCACTCCAACTGGTTGTCTCGTGACCCTCACTATCATCTGCTTCACCGTGGCGCCTCCACCTCTCTTGTGTGCACCAAAAGATCTTTGCCACCTCTAACAATAAAAGCAAATCAATCATGTTTGTCCTCCCAACTTGAGCCTGACAGTAGCCCCCCTACTTGTTGTCATTGTACTCCACCTGCATCGCTCGTCTCGAATCATATCGGTGCAACTCTTATACTCCACACTACGAGCCGGATGCCTCTATCTCTCAATTACTTGGCTTGGACCGAATATGAGCGTTCATTGTCTTCAAGTTTAATGTTGCCATCTCTATTACCCTGTGTGTCACTCGATCGTGCCAGCTTGCAAGCTCCACCTAATCTGACATTGTCCTCCTCGAGTCTAAACACCAACCAACTACTGCTCCCGCGATAACTTTGAATAATTATATGCTGACAACTTTACTGTTAGAATCACATCTGATTCTCTACGTCAGTCTCATCTATCGCATACTCGTTTGCCTGATCTGCCATCATATCTATATTGTCGTTGAATAGCAAAATATCGAACTTCAGATCCGAAGAAGTCATCATTCTCTAACCACGATTAAAATTCAAATCAGTCAATGTAGAGATTGAATTTGATAAAATCGATGCAAAAAACAAACTTAGCACGTCGAAAACCCTTAGGAACGACTCCTGGATCACCAAAATCCTCCTCCAAATACTTGATCAAAAGACAAACCAGCCTCAATTGTTGGATCCGTGTGAACAGTACCCACCATGCTGCTACAGTGTTTCTACTACAGTATCTAGATACAGTTTTCGACCGCTACAGTATGTAGCTGCTACAATAATTTTTTTTCTTTTTCTTTTCATCTTGATTCTTGTTACGCCGATCTTCAATCTTGCACAACGTCGTCTTCTACCGTATGAATTTGCTCCCGGATCCATCACCATCGCTCTGATACTACTTGTTGGAGAATTTCACTCCCTCCGCCTACTACAATATGCGTAACTTCGAAGCCAACCCACAATCAACAAGATATAAAATGATCAAAATCAAGAAAAAAAGAATACCAGGATTTACTTGATTCGATCGACCAACTTCGACCTACGTTCACGGGGCAACATTACGAGAAATTTACTATGTATCAGGGAGAACTACAAGATGAACCACTCAACTCTCGTCTCTCAATCTCTCAACCTCACATACATAATCAACTATCATATTCTCTCCAAAGCTCACTCATTGTAATCTTTTACACGGATAAAGATCACGAAACCCTCGTCTCTCGCACAATATTCTTGAATCAGGCTACGCCCTCTGCTAACCCTAGATTACAAGAATATTGACTCTCTCTCTCTCTCTACTATATCTTCTCTCTACTCTCTTCTTCTTAGTTTTTCCTCTAACAATAGAAGAATATATATATAGGAAAACCAAAACCCTATCTCTAGCCTAACTTCCTAATTAGCATAGAATCCGAACTCCTAATCATGATAGATCTCTAACCCTATCTAATTCTCATGAAGTTCTACAAAGAATCAAAGATACAATCCCAACACTTTTGACATTACTTGTGCTAACTTTTCCATAATAACTACATTCTCTATTATATTGTCAACTTCTCTCTTATTTTCTGCAGTTTATCATTAAACCATTTAAGACTTTGCTCAATACACAACGAAAAATATTAAAATAGTTTTGAATAATATATTGGATTTTTTATTTTGTATCGTTTGTTCTTCACAAGATGGTCCGTCTAATTCACCATTCCAGACAAAATGAAAAATATTTCCAATTCCCATAAAGGACGGTAAATAATTGACTTCACCTGGATATGGAGTATTTTACAGGCTAATACATATGCCACTGAACACTAAACCAATTTAATAATATTAATACCAAAGAATAAACTCACAAAACAGATATTTGCCATGCATCATCTCTCGGGCCTCTTCCAATTCTCATTTTCGTTGAAGCATTCTTAAGCCTCACACGTTGTAACAATACCTAGGCATCGTTTGGTACGCGAGAATATGATGAAATGGAATGGTCATTCTCACTTCTCATTCCTTCCTATCAAATACACCCACTTTTTTGAAGTTGGAATGCCCATTCCCACTTCGCATCAATTCCCACTTTATGTGGGAATGCGCATTCCCAATGAAATGATAGAGAATTGACATTCCCCCTTAAATAAGAATCAATAAAATATACAATTTTAAAGTACGTCCATTCCCACTTCATTTTATAAATTACCCTCAAACGTGAGAATGTGAATGACTATTTTATTCTCACATTAATTCCATTCCATTTATTCTTCTATTCCATTCTCTTCTCATTTGAGTCCATTTCCGCTTATCAAACGAGACCCTATAGTTTCTATCTTGATTACCAGTTTTTGACTTTTGCTTGACCCACGACCAAATAGTGTTGCACAACAAATTAGATCTTGTATATTATAATAATATATTGGGTGCTCTCTTTACAAGGTGAAGGTCCTCCCAGGGCATCATCTTGTAAACAAATACATAAGCTGCACAGGTAAGGGCATCTCCAACAGTTTCTCTAAAATTTTCTCTAAAATGGAGAAGCAAAAATCATATTCTCCAAAATATTTTTACACCAACTCCAACAACTTCACTATTTTGAAGAATCCTTTTTTTTCCTCCAAAAATTTGAAGAATACTGCAGATTTATGGGATATAAAGTTAGGAATCAACTTATGTAATAGAGTTGATCCACTAAAGTATTGAGCAGCGGTGTAGCATCAGATCCCAAAGATAGTAAGTTCTTTTTTCTTATGGAAGAAAGTCATTTTCAAAGATTCTATATAAATTTCATATATGAAACCGAGATAGTTACCTTTCGGAAAATTATAACGATATAGGGGATATCTATGCTTCATTTTTCTGAAGGTGGGAGAAAAGCTAAAACTAAGATATAGGGGATATCTATGCTTCATTTTTCTGAAGGTGGGAGAAAAGCTAAAACTAATTATTGAATTGATCAAAATTAGAATTTGAAACTTATGTAATTAACTTCTTCTGGTTAACCCACGAAAATGGGATAGATTTATCATAAATCTAATTCAGTTAGCATAGGGTTAATTAAGATGAGACCGCAAAAAGAATCGATTGCTGAGCCGTATGAGGTAGGAAACTCTCAAGTACGGTTCTAAGGGAAGGAATTGACCCACCTATTCCAACCGGGGAGAACAGGCCATTCTGCAGGGTGATTCTGAAATTGCGGAGGCTTGGTCCGATCAAGCTGCTGAGTATTGGAAACAAGCTATAGCGCTTACTCCAGGTAATTATATTGAAGCACATAATTGGTTGAAGATCACGAGGCGTTTCGAATAAAACAATTTTTTCTCCTCCATCCCTATTTTGAGCAATAAGATATGGAATCGGTTGAACCAAAAATCTTACTAAATTCTTCAAAAGTAAAAAATGGGGAAGCTGTTGGAGATAAGGAACTAAAAACCAATTTAATGATAAAACAAATATTTGCTTGCAATCATTTAGCGTCGGAGAGAACTAATTACGGCGAGCGAGGACTAACCAGTGTAGAAAACCCAGTGAACGGGCCTGCGGCTG